GAGAAATTGGAAGTGTTACAACTGACCCACGTTACAACTATCCCCGGTCTCCCCTACATACGACCTTGTCTAGTAAACTAGACATCGGTAATTTTCTGAAAATGCAGCTTTTCTGTTGTTCCAATGTTAGTAATCACTGTAAAAAAAAAAAAAAAGAATAAAGCTAAATAAGCCGAACTCTACTTATGCTAGGTGGGGGTTAAAAGGATCTTACTGTAAAGCATCCACGATAATGGAGTTGAATGAATATGGTTAATTCTCTCAATGAAATATTTTAAGATTGGTTGGATACGTTCAGACAAGCAGAGAGACGGTGGAGTCTGAGTGGCAGTTGGGAATGTGGCAGGAGGACCGTGAGTGCCCAGGAAAAACTATTTAAAAATGTCAGCTATCAATGGTTGTCACTATGGTAACTACATTCATTTTTATATACAGTCTATGCTCTGATGCACACAAAGCCACCAGAGTTTCACCACAATCTCAAACAAACAGGAGGCAAGTTAAATGACAATACAGACGTCCTGGTGTAAATTTTGCTTGTAAAGAACCAATCTGAATACTCTGAATTTCCCCACGGCTGGATGTGGAAAGGTGACTTCTCTCTAAAAGGAGTCAGTTTTCTCCTTTCGCTTTTAATAAGCTGTCAAGGTTGTTGCACTCTTTATTTTAAACTGTTCTCTGGTAGATTAAGGACAAACTGCTGTCAGTCTCAATCACAAAGACACTATTTCCCACTTTAACACCACAGCATCATTTTTGCCCTTCAGGAAGTAGCTGGAGGTAAAACAACAATTTAAAACTGATATCTCATTGCTGAAGATGGTAGCGGCACTTTTTCTTCCAGTGTTCATGAAAATAAATGTGAACAGGACGGAGTAATGACATTGTCCACTGCTCTTAAATCCCTGAGATACTCCTGCTTCAGAATGACTGTTTTTCCTCAGCCCCATTAGTTTTTCAGCTTTACAACAGTATTATTGTCTGTCTGAAGAAAGGTTTGTGTAAACCATGGGTGCATTCCCCCCAAAAAAAACAAAGATAGCAGAAACAGACGTATCTGGTATAAAAACCTGCTGTTTGAACTTTGTCCAGAACATAAAATCTGAAAAACCAAAACCAAACATCTACATGGTTTTAAAGGCTTCTTTAAACGCCCTTAGGTGACTGCAAGGACTGAACAAGGAGAGTCAGGGCTGTGTGCACACCTCCACAGGCTGTGCTGGACAGTGATTGACTGTCCTGTTGTGTTGTGTGCATGTGTGATGGTAGACGACCAGATGGCTGATGGGAGGACTTGACATTAGAGGTGAACTGTTCCTGCGCTGAATGAAAAAATATGCATAGCACACACACATTTGTACCTATAATTTTGAAGTTTGATTTTAAACATTTACTTGCAGCACAAACACTCAGAGAACCACCACAATGCTTTTTCCCTCCGCCATGATGAACCCAGCCACACCGAGTGTTTCACGTCTTTGTGTTATGATGGATCAACACATACACAGGAAAACTCAAGAAAAGCACAGTTTACACTATGATTTCATCTGTCATAGAAGTTGCTGGAGATTATATGTCATATAAGGTTTCACAATGATCATGACTTAAAACACTGTTGGTTTGAAAGAACAATGACCTTATGACCTTTAGTGTTAGGTCCAGTGTTTTACTGAGCCATCCATCCACCCTGACTTCCTCTAGCCTGACACTATTTCTTTTAGAAGACAGTCCTGAGAAACTCACACATTGTGAAGGTGAAACAATTTTAAATAATTACAGTTTGATCAACATAAAAAAGGCTGGTTTCCAAGCAGATATATATAAAAAAAATACAGTATTGTGCAAAAGTTTTAGGCAGGTGTGAAAAATGCTGTAAACAAAGAACGCTTTCAGAAATATAAATGATTGTTTATTGGCCCCAAATGTATTCTGGACAACGACCCCAAACACCCAGCCAATGTCATTAAGAACTATCTTCAGTGTAAAGAAGGAGAAGAAGTACTGGTTCAGTTCAACTTTAAAGTGTTAAAAGAAAAAACATCTTAAAAAAGCGGGTTACCTTTGTAAATTATTATAATAAAATTATTTAAGCTCTCACAAACATTTTGTAATCTAGGCTGAATATTCTAAAAATGTCGTAAATCCACCTCAACCCTTTCCTGTCACTACTGATATACACATACACACTAGTGTACACACACGTACACACACGACACACTCACTGCAGTGACCTCGTCCAGATGGGCAACGCGAGCCTATCAGAGGGTCGAGTCACTGTGGCCCCAGAGTGTCTCCAACCACCACCCCGTCGCTCCCACAGCCCTCTGGAGGAAGCTAGAGTATGAAGAGCTGTTGCAGCTTTGCATCATTCTGCTGCTGAGTGTCCACATTTACCCCAAAATAATGAGCCTCACTTTATGTTTGATGACACACTGAAATGCCTGTGAAAACTCAAAGGCCATTTCTTTCTTGGTTGTTATGGGTGTTCACTGTTCTTTGTGAGCCTCAAACCTCCATGGCAGCAGCAGATGTAATTATAAACAAATTTATAGACTGTCAATTACCTCATGGTTGAAGGGCTGACAATGCAGTTAGGGAGGGGAAAAATTGTGGACCACCATCGAACTTTGGGTTTACTCACATTTAAAAAAAAATGAACCTATATTCTTACTGAGATAAAAATTCAGTTCCTAGATCAGCCTAAATTCATTCTAACTAAAAAGTAAATACAAAGTTAACGTGACCGGACACAACAGGGTGGTGAATGAGTTCAGGCTTCGGTGGAACAGTTAAAGCCAGAATAGTAAAGGTATAGGATATGCTTTCAGGTTATAGTGTCATGGTTAATAAGTCAGTATTGTACAGAAATGTACAACTAGTTGTAGGAAAGCCAGCGCCGTAGACAGACTCCCGCAGAAGTGATCTGTAGGGGATGGTGGATCTGTCACATCAGCTTCATAAATGTGGATGTGTATTTCAGCTTTGGGAAACTATAGGAGGTAAACATTTGATTTGGGTTTGTTTTTTCATTTTATTGGCAAAGTATGAAACTTTCCCAAACACACTCTGTTGTCTCTAACATTCTGTGGAGTGACGTCTATGGGAAGAACAAAAATTCCCAGCAAAAATCCACAAGATGAGATACTTACACTTGCTCTTGCATCGACAGTGAGCTAATAGTCTCTCATTCTACTGTCATTAGCAACAATAGCTACCACAATGCTGTGCACAACACAGACTCCAATGCAAAAACCACCAGAGACAAAAACATGAGATTGGAAAATCTGGATCTGTTCATTTGAAAAAAGGGGAAAAGCAACACTTTATCTCTGTTGTGTCTTTCAGGTTTGTCGGCAGCTGTGAAGAAGACACACTCATGTGAGTTCTGTTTTTGCATCACTGTGTATTGGTTGGTAAAACTGTTTTATCTAGAAGTTGTATTAATAACAAGAATGCTCCTCATTTTTAGGCACACTGGAGAGTGTTGAAGAATAGGTGAGACTAATCAGTAAGAACAAGACAGCAAATGTAAAACTAAATCCAAAGCATGAGGGCCAAAAGACTATCAAAGTTTTTGCATGAATAGATTTCCTTTGTTTGCAATCTGGCCGCTGTCCCCTGAACTAAGATTCTGAGGGTAGGTGGTCTAAGTCGATTCACTCGATGAGTTTTTAATGAAGTTTCCATTCACTGTGGAACACTGAACGTGTTTCCCCCCCAACATTATAAGCAGTTTTTACTGTAAAACATGCAAGCACTGTGAGAGTGAAGGATAGATGAGGACAAATGTGTGACAGGGGACTTCTGCTAGAGTGGAGTCTCTCTCATTAGAGCTGATAAGGCTGGATAATGAATGTGAGATCCTCCTGCAGTCGTCTGTGCGTGGGACTGTCGGAGGGAGGAACGCTGATCCTCCAGGCGCTGCCCAAACAGCTCCTAACATGCTGCTGTGAATCTACTGACTGGGCCTGATGAGGGGAGGTGGAGAGCTCCGACATCGGCTGAGCGGCTTTTCCAAGCATAAATCATCCCCGTGTTCTGCCAATTTGGAGGAAGAATGAAACTCCTGCTACACCTCAGTTTCCTCTCTCTGCTGGCAGGAGACACTCTCGCCTACAGCACTTTGATATTTACTCAGCATGGCTGTTTTCAGGAAGCTTAATCGTTTTCACTGATGCTCCACAGCTCAGTCGGGATTTGTTTTATGAAGCTGAGTGGGATGGTGGGTGAGGTGCCCTGTAAATATATCTTTAGCTTTATTTTATGAGGGAGGTTCTCTGTCACTGCACAGATTCGCTGAGACAACATGAGAGGAGGAGAGACTTAAACACCACACTGCTGTGTTAGAGGGGATATTACTGCAGGTCAACTGGAGGCATTTTGTAAAGTTCCTATAAGCTATGACCTAAAGCTAGGTGCTTTGTGAGACTTACTCATAGGTTCAGGTTGTTATTTCGAACTGTGTAAGTGCTTAGTGCTTGCAAAAGGGAAATCCTACAACGATCAGAGTGCTATACAAAATAGTTTCCTCAGGCACTGATATTCAGTAGGAGTTTGAAGATTGGTCTTAGCTGAATGATTAGATAGAACGGACTGTTGTGGTACTTTTCACCACTGAGTGCCTACAGCACTTCTACGTTACAAGCCACATTTACCCATTTATACATGGAGCATCTCGCTCATGGATATTTCAACATGCAACTGTGGAACTCCCCTTTCTGTCAGTGGAAATGAAGTTTAACTCAACAATGTATCCCTATGAACATATTGGAGATAATTTATCTGAATTTTAGGAGAGGGACCAAACCTCTATACATGCCCCTACTGGTTCTCTATCTTTATTTCATTGGATTCTCTTTCAGGCAATCCAAGAAACCAAAACTCTCTGAACAACATGTCAGGTGCTTCAGAGAGACCAAACTCCACCGGTCATCCTTGGGAACCTCATAGCACTTTTTCTCACCGCTCGGCAATCCTACATCCATCTTTCCGTACATCAGAACTCCTCTCTTCACTCCATCCAGATATAAAGTGACTTTTACCCAAAAAGCCGACACATGTCAACGCTGACTCAGACAGCATGCCGTTCCTATGTTCCAGGAAGGTCTCATAAAAGTATTCTTCTGATGAGGATCAAGACTGGACTGTAGCTCGGTTACAATGTGTCCTAAAAGAGAGAGGCACTTTTTTTCATTGTTGTTCTAACTTTGTAGCTTCTTAACACTCACATATCTAAAAGTCAGTTGACCAGAAGCAAATATAAAACTTCCAACAGCAGCTGCTGTGCGCCTTGCAGCTTGACCCACCCACCAGCGTCAGGTAGCATAGACAAGCTCTGGTAACAGAAAAAGAAGCATCCCATCACTGTTCCATGCAGCCGCCCCTACCACAATTTCATGCGCTGGACAAAATGCAGAAGCAAGTTTTTCAACCACTGGGATGCCACCTCCTCTCTTCTCTATGCTTCATTATCAAAATGTAGCAGCAAACCTTTCTGGCACCGGGTTGCCAGCTTCTCTACAACCTATCCTATCTATTATTTGCAAAAAACAACAATAAACATTACTGGCACCGGGTTGCCAGTTTACTGCTCTACTATCCCTTCTCTGCAATATGCAACAGCAAACTTTTCTGGCACTGGGATGCCAGTTTTTCATCATATGTAGTAGTATGAAGGTAGGTCCTTCATATTTTCCAGAGCTGTCCACCGGACCAGATTGGAGTCTTTGGTGGTCCATTTTTGGTCTAGTCTATGTCTTAGTAATTATTCCCATGTCCTGTTTTGGTTTGGTAAATGTCTTTGCTCATGGGTTCCTCTCTTGATGGTTTCCACCTTTGTCTTGTCTCCATTGGTGTCTGTTTTCCCTCCTTTGTGATTGCCTGTCCCTCCCTCATTGCTTTCATTTGTGGACAGTGTGCCCTGGGTGTGTCAATAGGTATGTTTCTCCCATTGTCTGATGGCCATTCATCTGTTTTTCCTCCCATGCTAACAGTGTATGTATCTGAGTTCATCCTCTTCTGCTTAGTTTGGTTTTGTATGTTTCTCATATGGACTCTGGGTTTTTAACTTGTGTTGCTTAATTTAATAATCTTCCTTTTAAAGACTTTAGGAACTTCTTTGAAAAAAAAGTGCTGAGCAGAATTTTGGATACACAATCCATCCATTGCCTGAAAATGTTCAAAAGAGCTTATTTGTGATATCTTCAAAGGCTTGGCTTTTTTTTTCTAGTACCCCCTTAAATGTTCAGTGGTGTTGAAGTTGGGTAACTGTGTATGAAAGTCTATGACTAGCAGGACTCCTTGGTCGTCTTTGGTCTTCAAGTAGTTCTCAGATCTTTGAGGTTTGTTTTGGCTCATTATCTGGCTGTAGTATGAATTTTTCTCCATAAAGATGAAAACTGTTGGTGGTTATCCAAAGCTAAAAGTGAAGGTGGACCTTTCATAACAGTTAATTGGAGTAATAGGTTCTTCATTTTGACAATTCTGCATCTGATTATCTGAACAAGCCTTTAATAATAAAAATAAAATGATAATAATTAATAAACTTTGACAAGGGTGATGCATTTCAGAAACTCCATTTCTATATTTATGCGATGGGAAAAACAGATCTTTTACACTGTTTTCCTTGTCCCTTCATCTCCTTGCTTGGCATCAGACTGTGTGCTCTGTTAATGTTTGTAACTGTTCCCGACATCTCTGTAGGGTTATATCCAAACCTGTTGCTTTGGCATTAAAGTGCTTGACATGGGTTTGCCGTCACCCCGGCGAGTGGGCGGGCAGCATGGACGCCAATATTTGGTCACTGGAGATTGAGACAACGTAGGAAAAACTGATTCTAACCCATCCGAGGATTTACAAGATATTTAGAAGACTTGATGGTCAGAGGTTTTAGTTTTCTGAAAACCTGTGAAAATGATAACTTAAGAGATCTCCTAAGATTTTGAAATTGAGAACATAATGTTTAAATCTCAGGAGATCAAATTTTCTGAAAATCTTGTGAATGTGAGGCAGCACTAGCAATAACTTAATTAAGAAAATCTCAACATTCATGTCAGTTTTATTGTGAATGTGTGTGTAATCTATGAACCAGTTTTTGCCATATAAGACATGCTAGTCCTTTGTTCTCTGCACTCCAAACCCGGGTTTGGTGGATATCTTTAGACTCGTGCTGCTGGAGGCCTGGATGTAACTGGCTGACAGATTTCTGCTGAAGCTGCGTCTCTCAGCGGTTTCTTGCTGCGTTGTCCTCTGTTATCTTCCTCTTTGCTTAGTTTTTGCTGTTCGTTCTGTCTGTCTTTGCATTGTGCTCTCTTCCTTCCTTTTCATGTCTCTCCTACCTCTTGTTTCTTTGAACTGTTTGTTTTGTCAACCACAGCGATGGAGGGCGGCAGCACGACACCACATGACTGTGTGCTTTTTTCTTTGTCACATTCCTCTGCGTCTCTCCTGAAAGGGAAAAGTGTTTTTTTTTTCAGTGCAGCAATACAACTCTAAATCCAACTCCAACTGAACATGAACTCCACCATTTTTTTCTGCTAATCACTTTCAGGTCTTTTGTGCCTTTATTGTCATTTCCTTATTTTATTTTTATGTTTTTTCTTTGTGTTATTTCCTGTCTCTATTATGTCATTTTTCACGTGGTTGTGGACAATTAAGTCATTTTTTTATGTCTGTTTGTTTCAATGCTAAACTGTGATTGGGTGTTGTTTTGTGTTTATTTGACATAATCTTGCTATTTTTAGGCATTATTGTGCATCTCATTTGTCTCTTTGTGATGTATCTGTGTCTGCACCGCTGCAGTTCTCATGCCAGGGTTTCATTACCAAAAACTATCAGAACTAATTGACCTGCGACATGACAGTTTTTTTTTCTTTTTAAATTATGGGGCACAGTGATAGTGAAGAATGTTGTTTTCTTCAATTTGACCTAACGATAGCAGTGCCATCTCACTGCTATAATGACCAAAATGGAAAGATAGCACAATAATGAGAAAGCCTGTTTAATAACTTATTGTCACAGAGAGAACCAGTCAAACATCTTTGGCATGTGGTAAAAAGTGAAACTGGTAGCATTAATCTGCAGCTGACAAATTGGTAGAAATGATGCACCACGGTTATGTTGACATCTCAAAGAAAACTTTCCAACGTCTCAGTTAGAGTCGAGGCTGTTTGAGAGGAAAGAGGAACCCCATTTCATTTTAGCTGTTGCTTTTAAGAGATCTGATAAACTTCTCGTCTAAATGAAACCTTCTGCCTCACCAGGAAGCCAAATGGAGGAAAATACATAACTATAAATAAAAGAAACCAAAAAATGTTCTTATTTTTATTTTATTTAATTTATGTGTAAGAGACTCTGCTGCATTTTGTAGTAATTTTGTGTTCATGCTGATTTGTGTGTGTGAGGTGGAGAGGAGGGGAATGATGCAACACCAAAAATGACTTAAAAATACAGTCGGTGTAGAATATGGCTTCCTTCTTCAGAGTGTTTCTCGAGTGTTTGTTTCCATACACTCTCCTGTTTAAATGTCCAACTGTACAGCATTAACAAGCATGTTTGTACTGCAACAAATTTTGGAATCGTTGACGTTGGAATCAGTCTGGATTACCTCACTGACGTTACTGTTTAGTATCTTAGATTGCAACATTATAATTATAATATTGATCAGGACCATAATGCCATTACTTTACCAGCGAATAACTGGTAAGGTCAAATAAAAACTGTTCTAAAAGTATGACTGGAGGCATTTAAAAGCATCTCTTCTTGAGATTTTATTTTTTCTTTGCTGGATCAGCACCTCACAGGTGGTACAGCACTACTAGGCTGCCTTACTACGGTCTACCTGATATTGCTGGTGTTGTTCATGCGTCATCATAATGTTTGTCCAGGATCAACATTGCAACTGGCCTCTCACCTTGTTGCGATGCCATATCTTTGGAATGTGGAAGAAGGAGAAAAAAATGTCTTTGTTTATGTAAAACGCTCTTCTGGAACAAGTGCTCAGCATTTCAGGGTTTAAAAAATAATTATTATTAGGTATTATCAAGTTATGTTTGCTATTAACCAAATTTAGGTTACTCATGTTCTTTTGCTAGTAATAGTTTTTCAAAGCATTAGCTAACTTCTTGGCTAATGCTAACTGCTTATACAATGTGATTGGTCAGTTGCAATGTTGATCCTGGACAAACATCATGATGATGATGTAAGAACAACACCAAAAGTTGACTGACATTAATGTTGCAGATTGGTCATTTTGTTGATTTTGTGTCCCTCTGTGGTACTTTGTGTTTCTTTGGTGTCATTCTGTGTTCCTTCTCATCAGTGGTTCATATTTTTGTGTTGGTTTTTTTTTGTTGTTGTGTGGTTTTATATAATTTTGAGATTGTGCGCTCACGGTGTTTTAAAAGTGTCCTCTCATTGGCTGACAGCTGTGTCAATAAGAGGTGCAGGTAAGTGATGGGGCGGGGCCAGAACGATGACGTTGCAGTCACATGTATCCTCATGCTGTGCCGAGCAGCCGGAGGATGACAGTGCTGATAGAGCTGCCGCTGGTCTCACACAGGGAGCTGTGTTACTGTTTTCTCCACGAGCCTGGATTATAACTATGTATTTTGTCATTACTGCCATGAAAGGTGAGTGTAAAAGGTGTGTGTGTGTCATTTTACTTTGGGTTTAGAGTTTACTTTCAGCGCTTCAACATGATTGTTGGTCCACGGAGAAGCTCCACTCTGCTTTTTGTTTTGTATGGTTTCCCTGGTTTGTGTGCGCTCATCCTCACCGAGCTGTCAGCACTACTCTACATGTGTTGTTGTGTCTGATAACTGTTGGAGCGCAGAAACACGACACCCTCACTGATCGTGGAAATGCTATTTTGGGAAATGTGAGTCAAGTTAGTGGGACTTTAAAGTATGGGAGGTGGAGGATGAGGCGGACAGCAGACGGGGTGTCTGTGAAAGTTGACGATACGGTCTTGAGATGCGCTCCGTGTAAATGAAAGTTGCGGGGACGAGGATTAACTATTTCTTTTTTAAAGCTTGTGGCATTGCTCCAGGTTTCGTCATGTGCTTTTGTGTGTGGAGCTCTTTGCTCCACATCGAAATGGAAAAGAAAATCAAGGTGTGGGCAGGGGCGGACTACAAGACGGTGTGTTCCTGGGCAGTCGCGCATAAAAGCCCCCCAAACCAACTTAGACTTGCTGAATGTGCACGTTCTCCTCAGTTAGATAAAAATGGGACAGAGTTAAAAAGCTCCACTACATTTGTGGCTCTGTCTCATGACCAAAGCCCAAGTTTATGTATGCAGTATACATTCTGAAACATTTGGACGGCTGATGAGCATGCTGGGAAATCCACTGCTTGTATTTCCTTTGTGTTTTTGTCAAGAACTGAAAGGCTGTTCCGACTTATATGTTGAAAATATGCAGTCGTATGTATGTATGTGTGGACTTGTGTGTGGTTGATTTATGTAGAAATTAGTCCAGTGGAAACAGTTATTGATTGAGTAACTCTATGAATGAGTGTGCTTGTTTGGTACAATCCCCTGTCCACTCAGCCTGTGAGGACCTGTGGTTCATGGGCTTCTCTCATTTGTTCCATGCTTACAGACTTTACACTTGTCTTCAGGTTACAATAGCAAGGCTCAATCTGTAGCTGAGTAGTCGATTCATTGTGAGCTTGTAGCATAAACTTATGTTAAATGTGTCCATTCGCCTGACCTCTGACTGCAGTTGTTGTCCATGGTACTGATCAGAAACTGGAAAAATGCTGTTGGTGTTATTGATTATTGCTATAAGATATTATTTTTCAGTTTCTGTGTGTGTGTGTGTGTGTGTGCGTGAGAGAGAGTGAGTGAGTTAGCAATAAGGTCTCAAAACAATGATCTGCCCTGGGGTTGATCACATGATCACAGACGTGTGGCACGCTCCGGTCTCATTTGACATATTACAGGGTTGTTTTTGTTGCATTTGTAGCAGTCAGTCATCTAATTTAATATAATTTATCAAAACTGTGGTTTGGGTTTTTTTCCTTTTAGGTCTTTGCTTTATTTCTTGTGTAGAGATGCAACAATGCTTATATGTTGACATTACACACCGTATAAAAATGAAGTGCCTTAAACCTGCATTCTGTTTAATGGTTACTGGAAGGGCAAACCCTGTGGTTGCACTTTTGGGTGTATAGAGGTTTATGGGAAATGGACCTTCAGCTCCCTTGCTCTGTGTGTTTCGGGTCTCAGTGAATCAAAAATGAAGTGCACTTTGTAAATTACTTTGGTCTTCTGAATGCAGAATGAAATATCTTGCCACAGGCTTCAGCACTTTTACTGTGGTAAAAGTTTTCCCATCAAATACAAACACTGGAGGTCTGGCTGATCACTTCTTCCCCACTGAGAGCGAGACCTAGAAGTGCACTGCCCTTTGTAAGGAGATTTGTGGGGTAAATTCCCTGAAGGGTTGTTGAACTGGAAGTGCAAACTCAGGTCTTTCATAATCTTTTAAAAAGCCTCTATCTGCAGAGTTCATCTAGACAAGCTAAATTTTTAAATCCAGCTGTTGATGTCACTGTGATGCGTCGCCGCTTCTGATACGAGGCCAGACTGTCATGTTTAATGTGTCTGCAATAAGTCATAAAGACACGATTATTTAATTGAGTTCAAACTGTCAGTGCTTTAGTCTGCCCAGCAGATTCAAAACCGTCATTTTTCTTTGTTTCATGAACGATTTGAAACACATGCTTACATTTAGCTCATCATTCATTTAGCCAACACCCAGGTGCTTCTCCTTTAGTAAGAAACTTTACAGCTGTTCAAGATTTGTATTTTCTTGAAAATTGCAATGTGTGTGTGTGTCTGTGGTTTAATGCTGTCTGTTCCAGATTCCCAATCTGTGAGAAAACACTGCAGGAGGCATTTAGCCAGCCTGTTATGTCAGAGGATTACAACAGCCAGGAGATTATTTAACTGTTTCTTAGGGGGAGGGTGAGCGTGGTGACATCACTGGTGACATTGTGATCAAAAAGTGCGCGCAGTTGTTTACATAAACAGAAAAGACAGAAAAAAGTAAGAATATTTGAAACAGTTTAGAAATATTGTCGATTATGGCAGAAAGCATTTTTAAATTCTGCACAATAATTCTAATCTCAGTGATTTAAAAAAAAAAAAAAAAAGAGAAAAAAAAGAAGATGCTTGGGCTCGCTGATTTTACAAAAGGGCTCCAGTGGATGGATCCGCATGTTGATTTCCTTGAACTTCAAATATAAATTATGATATAAAATAACAAAGTGCTGTCTGGTATTTGGAGCTCGATGTGACTCTTAGCCCTTTCCCACTAGTGCCCACTGGGATCGGCGTTGCTCGACCCGAGTCATAATTCAATTCAATTTTATTTATATAGCGCCAAATCACAACATAAGTCGCCTCAAGGCGCTTCATAGATACAGAGAAAAACCCAACAATCATATGACCCCCTATGAGCAAGCACTTTGGCAACAGTGGGAAGGAAAAACTCCCTTTTAACAGGAAGAAACCTCCGGCAGAACCAGGCTCAGGGAGGGGCGGCCATCTGCTGCGACCGGTTGGGGTGAGAGAAGGAAGACAGGATAAAAGACATGCTGTGGAAGAGAGACAGAGGTTAATAACAGATATGATTCAATGCAGAGAGGTCTGTTAACACATAGTGAGTGAGAAAGGTGACTGGAAAGGAAAAACTCAATGCATCATGGGAATCCCCCGGCAGCCTACGTCTATTGCAGCATAACTAAGGGAGGATTCAGGGTCACCTGGTCCAGCCCTAACTATATGCTTTAGCAAAAAGGAAAGTTTGAAGCCTAATCTTGAAAGTAGAGATAGTGTCTGTCTCCTGAATCCAAACTGGAAGCTGGTTCCACAGAAGAGGGGCCTGAAAACTGAAGGCTCTGCCTCCCATTCTACTTTTAAATACTCTAGGAACAACAAGTAGGCCTGCAGAGCGAGAGCGAAGTGCTCTAATAGGGTGATATGGTACTACAAGGTCATTAAGATAAGATGGGGCCTGATTATTTAAGACCTTGTATGTGAGGAGCAGGATTTTGAATTCAATTCTGAATTTAACAGGAAGCCAATGAAGGGAAGCCAAAACCATTAAGTGGTAGTACCTGGTGCCGGTTCCTTTTTAAGAACCTACTTGCCGGAGTTCCATGCGCTTGGAAAACCATGATCGCAACAGACTGCATGCCACCGATTGGCTAGTCACTGATGTCACTGTGAGTTGTGAGAGCAACTCCTTCAAGAAAATCAAAACCACCATTTTTGAAAAACAATGATGGCAATAATTGAAAAAACAACATGTGTCTGACGCACATAAGGTGGGACTCAATTGTAATGGAAAATGACAGAGACTGAGACCGAGTACTAGCAGAAAAGGGCTGTGTGAGAATAACCGTGGTTCCCCGGTGTTGTGTATCCTACACTGCCTATGTCAGCAGGTCCAATTGTGGCTTGTACCCGGCTCAGGCTACACATCTCAGGAAACCCGTGCTGTACGCACGCAGGGAGTGATTTAGAGCTGCGAACAAGGCGACAGACCCTTCGTGATCCAGAACAGAAGACTTTTAATGGCTTTTAGTTCCTCTTAATAGATCTTGTTGGCCAAAGGCCTTTTTGTTTTCAGTCATCTTTTTCTGTTGGAAGCCAGAATGGAAATTTCAGTTCAGTTCCATTAATTCAGCAGCCGTAGCTCCAAGTGCACATCAGATGAAATTACATGGAGCTGATGACATCATTGTTTCTGAACCAGCAACGTTTTACACAAACTCGTTAGCAACATTTTGTGAATGCACTGCATGACTGTGCCACATGTGCTGCACACTCAAACTGTCTCTGCATTCATTTGTGTTTATAAATATCTCCCAACATGTGCAGGATACAGTAACTATTAAAATACCTACAGGACAGCGCTGGCTATCTAAACCTCAAAGATATCCAGGATTTATCCATGAGCACATGATAGAGTCTTTTAGGAAATATCTGTTGACATATCACACTCTGTCAGCTGTCATTTATAAATCAGCATGCTACAACTGACCAGGAACTCTGCTCTGCGCTGTATGAATCACTGCCTCTAGCAGAATATAGGAATGTAGTTTTTCAGGAGTGCGATAATCATAAGTAACCATAAGTTACTGTCCATTACAGTTTGGCCTTATATATAAATGGCAGCTGCCTGTTTTATATTTCCTGTAGGAAGTAGTTTTTTTTTTTCTTAAGACACAGAATGGATTCATCCAGCTTTCTGATGGATCCAAGTCTGGCCTGGATTTTACACTCTGCATTTAGTAGCAGCTTTTCCCCCCCCAAACAACTAAGTTGGTCACAGTAAATGATAAAACGCCACACAAAAACAAAACACGTTTTGTAAAAATAAATTCCTCAGTAAAGCAGAATGTAAAACCACGCATGCATTTCAACAGAAGACAAAGAAGGAGGCCCTTTTATTAACCACCAAACAAACCTTGACACATTTCTGAGGCTGAGCGGCGTCTGCTCGGCCCTCCTCTCTCCCGCTGCTTTGATCCAGTGTCTGAGAAACGCTATTTTTTTCTTTCTTTAGAGCTCAGTTTCTTTTAATTTATCCATTAGGGATTTGTTTTGCTCAGGCTTT